TTATAATAAGTAAAAATTAAGAATCCTAAGCGTAATTAAAATGTGGTACAAAAAATATAATTTGTAGTGTGAATATAAGAACCTATTATAAAGAACCGTGCCACTTGCACAGGGGGTGGGGTGGTGGGTTTGATGACAATCTCTCACACATGGGGGGTGGGGATATTATTATTATTGTTGTTGTTTTAATCACAGTGAGACCAACCACTATGAGTGTATTGTCAACCACTCCGGTCAATTGTTGCTATACAAATGGCATTGATGTTTAAAACAAGTTTTGAGTAACAAAAATTGCCAAATGGCAAATCACAATTAGTTGGTGGAACAAAAAGTTTTTCTACCAACCAATACAGAATTGCCACTGGCATGTCACCCTGGGTGTTAAAATAGCAAAACAGATTATACAACCACATCGATGGCAATAACAGACAACCCGAACCCAAAGGACAAATGATTGAATTGGGCTTTAACTTGAACGTCAGAAGGTTGGCCCGTCATTGACACTTTGTAAAATTTGGCCCATGATTGAGTTCGGATTAGGGAAATTACAAAAAATCAGTTGTTTAAAGATTGGATTTTAAAAATTAGGTCTACAATTTATTTATTCAAAAATCAGGTATTATATTAAAACCCTAATTTATAACCTAATTTATCTCTCATCCCTTCCCCTATCTCTCTCTCGCTCCTCCATCCTCTTCCCTTCTCCCTCATTTCCCTACCTACCCCTCTCCCTCATCTCCATTTGTGCAGCGTCGCGACGCCGTTCGCGCAGCAGTGTCAACATCGCGACATTGCAACCGTTCGCAGCGTCGCGACATTGCTGACATGAACGACAACGTGGTGGTGTTTTGTGCACAGCAACGTGGTTGGTGGTGGTGTTGATAGTCATCCGGCGGTGATGGTGGTGTTTTATGTGGTTGGATGCGACGGTGGTGTGGTTTATTGTGTGGTTGGATGTGGCGGTGGTGGACTGATGGTAGTGTTTTGTGTGTTGGTTGTGGTGGTTGTTGCGATAGTGGTGTAGAGGTGTCAAAACGGACGGACCGGCCAAACCCGTGAAAATCGGGACCCCGGGCCGACCCTTGACCCGTGCGGGCGGTTCACGGGCCATGGAGGTGTAACCCGCGGGTTTCGCGGGTTGCACCCCCACGTGTCGCAGTTAACCCGCGGTCCGTGAAAAAAAAAATTGAAAAAAAAAGGGGGGCTCACCCCAGCAGGCAGGAGCTTGCAGCTCCTGCCTGCAGCTGTAGCCTGCATGGTCAAATAAAAAAAAATTAATTTTTTTTTCTGTTAGTAACGATAAAATATATATATATTTTTTAGTAACGGTAATATCATCCCTTTCATCTATAAATTTCAATTTATTCTTACAATTATTTTTACAATATCCTCTCATTAGTTATTATACACAATTTCTTCATAGTTCAATCTTCATTTCTTCATACTTGTTACTACCTTACTATAATTTCTTCATACTTGTTACTACATTTATACTTCATAGTTCATT